GATCATTGGCATTTGTTCCTACTGTCGCCAGCAATTCAGGTTAGAAAGTCGTGGCGATGAGTGGCTTTGACTGTCCTATCTAACCGGCTGAAGGATTCCAAACATATCAAAATGACTCGGCAGGAGTTTGCGTACACGACACAGTTACTGCTCATGAACTCAGGTCCTTGTGACCCACCTACTTACTGCCGGAGATATGGCTGTCGTGGGCATGGTGGCACTCGTAAGAAGAGGCTCCGTCGCCATCAATACCAAAGTGCAGTGTACAGCCTTCTGTAAGATGGGGATCCCATTTCGTGGCAACCGTCGTACAAAGCGAAGTTCTGTCAGTGGCGCAGTCGTGTTGGGCGCTGGGGCGACGTAATTCCGGAATAGCCAACCCAGTATGCAAACAGATAACATTGGATATTTAGCTTCATCGGAGACGTCAGACCAACTTCTAGCAGTCTGAACAACCACGAAACAAATTACATACCAGCAGTGATTGCGTTGTGATTCTGTGATTTTTTTTTTTTTTTTAAGGGCTGTCCAAACAGCACATTTTCTGGAATTATAGCATTTTATGTACCGGGAGTGGAGCTGTTCCTCCAGTTCCGATCCGCTTTGGGATGCTTTTTTTTTTTTCTGGAGAAAAGTTACTTTCTGCTTTTGTTCCTGAACAAAGGCTTGGAACGTGCTCATCACGTGGTTCCGGAGAGCCCCTCACACGCGCCGCTGGATGTCGTCAAGGCCTCCGCTGCTCTTGTCAGTCCCCAGCCTCCCGAAAACAAGAAGTGGGGAGAAAGATGAGAACGAGGAGGCGAGAAGGGAACCCATACTCTCTGCGGGGTTGATGTCCTCACTGAAAACATGTGCGTGTCCCGCAATGCTCGCAATTAAAAAAAAACAACAAAAAAACAATGTGCATTTTTCTTTTGTCTTCTTGCCGTTCACGGACTTTGCAGCGTACTGTTGGACAACCCTTCATACAGATTCGCTGGTCGGTGACTCTAAGGGGAAGAAGAAAATAGGCTTCTTGATTTTCGATGGAATTTCCAGTCTGCGTTGAGTAAGTGCACAACTGAGCGTACGATAGCCCTGTCGGGTTCGGTGTGGCGTCGCAGAGACGTTGCCGAGACCAACGCTGAGAGTGCTGTGTTTTCTCTCGCTCACATCGCGGCTCGGACGATGCGGGGTGTCCGGCCATTAGTGCAGCTCCCCTGGCGACTCGCTTCAATTCACCGTTCCTTGGGTGTCGTCGAGTCCGTGCTGCGGAATGCGCTCCAGCCGTGGGTTATTTGTTTCCAGAGGTTGGCGCGTTCGGACGTGGTGGCGCTGCTGGTGCTATGCTCGGAATGCTCATTGCGTCCAGTCCCCAAACGTCAGCAAGGAAAACCATTTCGGTCAATGGGGCTGGAATGAGCGTCGCTGCCTGGCAACGTGGGGAAGCTGCCGTCTCAGGGACGCTATTTGGCTCCCTGTCTGTCTTGATGCCCGAGCGCTTTTGTTGGGGAATGTGTATTGTGTTTATTTTTGTGTATGATGATGAAACAAGTCAGGAGAGACAAAGAGAGAGAGAGAGAGAAGAATGGAGGGAACCTAATGACGAACCCTTCTTCAGACGAAATTATTTGATGTCAAAATCTAGAAATACCGAGGCAAAAGAAAGGTGATGGGGACGACGTGCTCTCGACTGTGAAAACACTTAAATTCATTAAGAAAAGCAAAATCTTCTTTACATACTTTTTGGGGTCTCTGGGGTGAGTGGGGTTGAATGGTGTAGAAATGCAACTCTGAACATGTGTTCATTCTAAATCAAAATTTGATGGCTTGTAATAGAGTGAATTCATCTTATTTAGCAGAGTTGCCACGCGTGTACCTCCCAATGCAGTTAATGCGTTGTTCCCCGCCATCGAAGAAACTTTCGGTGCGAAATAATCCAGACAAATAAAAAAACAAACCTCAGTTGATTAAAGAAAGAAAAAAAGGAAGGTGCGAGCTTTTAGCTCGATGGAAAAGGCGATGCAGGAAGCGACCCGTGTTTCGACTCTCACCCTGCTCCCCTAATCGGAACCCCGCACTTCGTGCGCCGCAGTTCCGCGTTAATACTGACAACCAGACAAAGCGAACCGAAGGTGCGAAATGCGCGGAAACGCGGTCTATTTTTTCTCGACAAGATGAAGCCTTCGTAGAGTCCGTCGACGTCATTATTACACCTGCGCCTCGAGCAACAGGATGCCTCTGCATTTCGTCGGCACGTGAACCGACCCGTACGACGCCGCTTCGGAAAGCGGCGCGTCCGCGGCCGGTAGCCACCGGTGTCGGTAGTGTGGGCGCGCCGAAAAAGGTCCACATTAGGCAGCGTCGGCGCCCCCGCCGTGCCCGGAAGAGGAGGAGGGTCGGGCCAGGGTCTGCGGCCGGGCCATAATGCGGCCGCCCGTTCCGGCGGCGCTGCACTTAGGCCAATGAAGCGGTGTCTGCTGCCGGGCGCTCCTTTTAATCCCATCTCGACGAGCCCGTCCATCGCATCGCGACCGGCGCGCACACACACGGGGCGAAAGCAATATGGGGGCCGCTGCGGCGAGGTGGCGGCGGTGAGGGCGGGCGCTCGGAGCGGCGGACGCTCCTGCGTCCATTACGCCGAATGCGGCTCAACCGGGCCACGGAAATGGGGCCTCTGCTGGCAACAGGCAAATGGAAGGCAAAGACAACAAGAGCGTAAACAGCGCCGCTCTTCGTCTCTCTCTCTTCTTGGTGAAAGAAGAGGGCGACGACGGACGACAAGTTAATGGAACTTGGGAAGGACGAGGGTGGCTGGGTTCTTTTCACTTATTCTTTTTTTTAGGATGCCTCTGCCTGCTTGCTTGCGCTGCTGCTACTTGCGCCTTATTCTTTTCGTGACGACGAAATCCGAGTGGTCGTAATGGACTTTTCTGCGAGGGCTTCTTATAAACTCGGCCTTCCCGCCGAGTGGGCTTCAAAGAGCGGACGCCCATGGCGAGGGGGAGGCTCCGAAAAGACGGCGAAGAAAGCCACCTAAGAGGGCCCCGCTCTCCTTGGCTTGCCTCCTTCGACCAACTGCAACGTGCGTTGGCTTTTCTTTTTCGTGATATATATATGTGTTTATTTATTTTACATTCGCGTTAGCCGTGTTGCACGGAGGAAGACTGTCCTGCTTTCGCACTTTTTCGCGCACGGAAGAAGAGCAAAGAGGCAGTGTTTTACTCCGCGTCCTCGTAAAACTCTACAATGTAGGGAAAATAGTGCTGCGCTAGGAATGCGGGCAGGCATTTTTTGGTTTGTTTATTTGCTGCTCTTGATTTGCGATCTCCATTGTAAGATCATCGGTGGGGAACGTCTAGATCGTATGGTGTGTGCCCGATGTATTACCTGGCATCCAGCCCGACTCGTCCGAGTGGCCCGGCCCTTTGAAAAAGAGGCGGCTCAGTCTGCCTTAGTGTCCGCGCACCTTTAGAGAGGAATGCGCACCCTAAAGCCCTTCTTAGCATCGAAATGAAGATGGAAACAGGTGCTTGGTTTCTGAGATAGATGATCTTGTTACGGACTTCGAGGAAAAGGAACATGGAAAGAGGGGGGGGGGGGGGATTTATAAATTAAGGCAGTGACTATAATTCAGGTCAGCCCATTTTAAAACTACCAGGTACAACTTCATTATTAGCATTATTATTGCGGTACTTTGTGAAAGCAGAAAACTTACAAGCGCATACAAGAGTACACTTCCTGGGAGCAGCCAGATGCTGTACCGGTGTTTGAAAAACAAATGCCTTCCACAAACATAAATAAAAATGAAAACACCAACAAATCAATGTTACACAGACGAGGTGGCGTTGTTTACAAATGTTTCGTCGTTGCTATTGAAACTCGAGGTTGCAAAGTAGGACAACGCCATTAAGAAATCGCATGGACACGGTTTCTGCGCTACGAAGTACAACTCTGTTTTCAGCTTTATTATTCGCGTTGAATGACGAGTTCACGCGTGTGCCAGTGTTTTGTGCCACGCTTCCAGTTGCAATATCGTTAAGCACGCGCAAATTAGGTTATATTTAAAGACTCGTGCTTTCCACGTTACAGCGTGCCGTTATCGGATCCCCAACTATATCACGAGCGCTCTTCGCTAGCTGCACTGGAGATCTTGACGGAACCTGCCATCAGTCCAAGAAAGGGAAGCAACGAAAAGAGGCCTTTTTTTTTTTCTTGCCTCTCCAGAAAACTTTAATTCGACGTGACAGCTTAAAAACGCACTGCCCGCTTCATTTCGACGCTCTTTAGAGTCTAGACCAAGCTGGAAATTGGATGCCTCGGTCAGTGGAGGCACCTTTGCTGAAAGTATGGGAGGAACACAAAGCCTCTCCTCCTCACATTCGCAGACTCGGAAAGCGAAAGGGGCCGGAGGGATAAAGAAAAAAAGGGGATAGTTGCGTCGGCTTCCCAAAGTGTGTGCCGGTCATTCCATTTGCCGAAGCGAAGAAGACCACCCTCACCGGTTAAGGATTGCTTTCCAACCAGCGGAAAAGCAAAGAAAGGAAAAGCAAAAGAAGAGCAGCGAAGGGAGGGCAGTGAATCTACTAGGAGCCTTCGCCTAGAAGGCAACACGTTCCGAGTCGATGTATAAAACATACGACGGCGACACCGAACGGACGCTGTGACCTCGCCGAACTTTTCTCCGCCGACTCAGCATTACTCGCCCCCCCCCCCCCCCCCCCCCCAGACCTCCTGTTAACCCATAAAAGGAAGTAAAAAAATAAACTACAGGAATAAAAAGAGGCGAGCGTAACGGGATGAAAAGAAGAAACAACAACAACACATAAAACCTCCTCCTAAAGAAAACGGGTCCAAAAAGCCGAGCTACAAAGCGCCAGCCTCTTACGTTGATTGCAGGAGGCGTGCGTTAAGTCGTGCCGTCCCTTTCCCACGTTGAATGATCCGTCCGATTCACTCGCTGTCCTGCGGGGAAGCCCTACCCGCGCTGGGAGAGAGGGAACGTGACGTCACAGCCAAGTGAGTTCCTGCGCCGATGCGCGGCGCTAGCGCCGCGCTCAGCGGGCTTTGCGAGGACGTCCCGCTGCTGCCGGCTTCAGTTGGTCCGCCGTGCCGAGGCAGCGCACTTCGGAAAGAGACGATGCCGTGCGCGAGACCTTCGCTGAACGTTTCAATCAACAGGCGCACGTGATGGTGTCTACCGTCGGAAGTCGGCTCGGCTTGAGCTGAAGATCTTTTTTTTCTCGTGTGTGTGTTCGACGTCGAAGATTAGAGGAGTGATACTGACAAGGATCTGTGGAGATCGCCTGGTCTGGTGTCGCCTGGCTTGTGGATTTGAGCGTGTGTGCGCGGAGTGAGAGAGCGTCACTGCGTCCACGACCATCCTACGTGATTACACGGTGAGTGTATGTTGCACGTACTTGGTCGCGGTGTTGAAACCGCAGGGAACCTTCTTCGCCAGGACCGTCGTTGTCAGTGGAGACTGTTACCGAGCAATGTCGTTAATTAGGCTGTGACGTAACGCAGCCGCCGCCTCCTCGACAGAGATGCATGAATTAACGATCTTCGAATTTGAATAGGAGAATTACGCCAAGCTTGGTTGCAGACTGCCGTTCATTTGTAACAATGAAAGTGCCAAATTAATGTGACTTGCCCCGTTTTTTTTAAATTAATTTTAGTTGGTCAATCAGAAGATGATCCGTTCCAAAATCGTTTCGTGTCGTCGAATATTCGGGTCGATGTCTACAGAGTAGGCAATCGAGTGCACTGTCAAAGGTTGGAACCGTAGTCTGTCGATAGTGTTTCAGTCCTGAAAGACGTTCAGCGAAGGTACAGTTCATGTTACTTTGAATGAAACATCGGAGTGCGTGAAATATCGCCGGAGGCGCCCTGACACAGAATTATCTTGTCAACAGGGATGATCTCGTCCCTCTTGATGGCCTCGTGTTGCACTCGCATTTTCTATTGTTAAAGTGAACGTGGAAGATAACACGCATCATAAAGGTTCTCAGCAAAAGCCAGGAAGACGTGGGGGGCACAGAACTGACAGACTGACATTCTTACGTATCCCGCCGGTAACGAGTGTAGCTTAAGATGTCTGTGTCATTTTTTTAAATCGAGTATATTGCAAATACATACTGTAAAATTTACATTTTGATTAACCTACTGTTTAACCTTATGGTAAGACGCTGAAAAATAAAAACAGTACCCCATACCATATCAAGTAGGTAGATGGGATTAGACCGTTGCGCACTACTATACGTGGCTGTCGAATATAAAAGCATTGAATGTCGAAGTTTGGTTGAACCACTGGTCGATTTATTCGGCTACACTGGCGAGATCCTAAATTGATTCGTTTCATTTGTCTAATGTATGTCAGGTTCAGAGCCGTTCCATCGGGGTTCACATTTTCACTTCTCCCCATGGCATTCCAGGGTTCCGGCTACTTGGTACTTCCCGAATAATGAAGAACTTGTCAACGTGTGATTCCGAGGGAGCTTTTTCGTATAATTTCTTCTCAGTTCTCTGCTTTGCTCGCGTCCCAAGTTTGTAATACCTGCGTTTTCCTTATACTAGACATGAGACACGCATTAGTTAAAGGGGCCATGCAACGATTTTCGTACTTTGCACAAATACCGCTCAGAACGAGTCACTGGTGCTAATGACCTATGCAACACACGATTGGTTTTTAGCACACGCAATAGAAATCTATAGAAAAACGAGTGGCGTTCATCCCCTCAACTCGCAGCCAGAGGAAGCGGCCACGTGATCTGGAGCCGATTCTATGCCTCCAATGTTGATCATAGCCACGCGCTGGTGTTGGCAAAGCACGGGACACGCGCTGAGTTCCAGACATTCTTATGGTTTGGCTATTGTCGTTATTGCAGCGATTGAACACGGGCCACTGCCCGAATGCTTCTCGAGCTATCGATTATCGCACGCCCAAATCGAGTGCTTATGCGATGCTCGGGCTCAGTCTATGAGCCGCATTCAAATGTCGTCATTTGGGGGCGACCCTCCAGCTACGTCATCAAGTTTTGCGAAGGAGAGATTGAGAGAAGACGCTCGCTTTTGTCCTTGAGATTACACCCCAATAAAGAAGTTTCTTGCTCAGTGGCGCTAGTGCCTGTAAGTTCGTGCAAAGTGAAAAACTTTCCAAGCGATTATCGTTGCACCGCCCCTTTTAAGCGAAACACTGTAAGGGCAGTTGCTGCTTGTCTCACACAATCAAGAGTCGGAAATCTTTTTTTATAAGTTTAACATTTTTCCCAGCACAACGCGTTCTGGTAGACCTGGAGCGGCGTTCTAAGGACTGAGACGGCGCCAGAAAATATTGTAATTGTACGTGACAGCTGGGCGCCGAAAAGATCGCTTGCCCGTCATAGCACAAAATTAGCTGTGTAAAAATAAAGATTAATATCTTTATTTAGATTAGATTAGATTAATGCTGAGTTAATTAACTTCTATAACCTTTTCTTTTTCTTTTTTTTTTTCTTTACGAAGTTCGAAGGTCTTGACAGTGTAATAGAAGTTTCGCGCCACTTCGGTGATGCTCTTTCCTGTGCGCCAGAAGAAAGCCAAATCGTAATTGTGACACTTGATTATTATGTTACGGAAGTTTGACGGTTGCCGATCATAATGCAGAGAAGCCATACAGGCTCATCAATTATGTAACAGATGTTAAAAAAAAAAATACCACTTAGTTATTAACAGGTTAACGCTCATAGGAGAATAGGCGAGGCTTTCTTTTTGTAAATTCAATTTTGGATGTTAAAATCTTTAAAGAAGAAAAGGCTGATCGAACGCCATTTCATCGCAACACGTTTTTAGAGAACGGCCACGTTTTATCGAAGCTCTATTTAGAGAAAGCAGAGCCTGAATTTAGAGAAACGTCGTTTATCGAATACGAACGCCGTTTAAAAAAGGTTTCCTTACTTCGCGCGGGTATCACTGGGGCCCGTCGTAAAATCAAAACGGAATACAGAATGTAGAGTTGCATTGGTCTGTTTCCCATCATAACTCCGCAAGAATTGCCTACATCCCGTCGAGCTTTCCGGGGGGGCTCCGTGTTGATGACTCGGGGCACTAAACTTAAACTGCAAAGCGTGAGAAACTCGGTGAAAGCAGCACCGTTCTCGGAAAGGGCCGTTCTCGCCTCTCGGGCATTCCGAACGAACGGCTTCACCGCCGTCGCTGCCGCCGCCGCCGCTGCTCAGTAAAGAGCCTAGATTGTAGAGAGCGAGCGACTCCAACTACGCGAAGCGTTTTAAATTTAATGGTGGACGCTTCTTGAGCAGGTTGCTCGCAAGTTCGCGTACGTTTCGTTATCGCGGGTCGAGGAGGACAGCGGGCAGGAAGGTGGAGACGCTTGCGTACCATCGACGCTTTTGGCTCCCACTCGCAGCTCGTGGTTTGCAAACGCGATATAAACCATGTGGCCTCGATTGACAAGTTGGGAACACTCTGGGGAATCTAGGCACACTGCTGCCCAGTGCTAATGCACCGACTTCCTCGGCGGTGCGTGACCTCGGCGTCGTTCCGGTGGAGGCGTAGGCCCGCTTTTACGATGCACTCGAACAACGACGCCTCGCTGAGCAGCCACGCTCAGCGATGCAACCCGGAGAAGAAGAAAAAGGGGCCTTTCGCGTGTCGGACGCTTTTTCCACTTCGTGCGTCGGAGGAGGCAGTGCCGGCCCACGGCGTTCTCGCAGTTGCGACTGTGAAAGAATAAAAAAAAAAAAAGAGGAGGGGGGGGGGGGGGGGGGTTCGGGACAGGAAAGCTTTGCTTCGACTAAACCTTGCTCTAGCTATTCGAAGCCCGTGATGTATGCTTGGCTGCGAGCTTCACAAATGGTTCAATCCCTGTGACGTCTTAAGCCTGGTTCAGACAGTTGCGTCCCGGACATCCCTGCTGCTTATATCGCGTGCCAAGATGATTCCTTGAATTGGATTCCGCGCTTCATACAAAGCACAGATGTGCCGGTGACTCGTTTTCGGTTCTCGACGCAACGCAGTCCAACGCACTCAAACGCAAATGTCTGAACCAGGCTTTCGGTTTCCTGTAGGTCAAAAAGAAATAGTACTGGAGAAAAAGAAATAAAAACAGAAAAGAAAATAGAGGATTACGCGTGACGCGATCCAAGCACGACTTTGAACTATTTCTTTTATGCCGTCGACAGCATGCGCGTTCTGCAGTTCATTAGGTTACAGTTGGGACACCAGCTTTACGGTTCGAGACTCGAAAGTGGGAGGTAAAACAGGTTGACTATCCTTGAGTTCGCTTCCGGTGTTCTAGAAATAGAGATGCGCGAGGTTTCAACTTAAGTTCGAACTTTTTGTCGAAGTGAAGACGCGGTGTCGAGAATGTTTAAGATTTGGATAAACATTCGGTTGCACTGTGTAATACGGTCACTACAGTCCTTCATGCCTGTCTAATTTCCTCAAAGACAGGGACACCAAATTGCACATGGCTTACGCTTGAATACTCGAGGCTAATTTTAGACATTTGCCTTTGAGTATGACCGCGTTACGACACCTTGCGTTCCCTCACCGCGCGTTGCGCGATCCTCGATTGCCATAACAAACATCTCGTCCTCAGCACTTACAAGAATCGTGACGCAGTTGGTCATACTGAAACGGAAATGTTTGCACGAGCCTTACGTGTACCATGCCCACCTACACCGCCCCTCATCTGACACGGACGGAGACTACCACCGGATTGCGTCGTCCAGATTGTTCTTGCGTTGTTTTTCTTTTTTCTAAACGCTGCATACTTAGTGCGCGAGCACGGCTAGAACGGTGTACAGCGTAAAAGTGCCAGCTTGGTGGCGTGCCCCAGGGGCGTTGGGCTACGCGGGCGTGTCCCCTTGGGCTCTCCGTGTGGCCCAAGGGCGTTTCATCGAAAACGCGCCACCATCAACACCGCGGGCGGATCCCGGAGACCAGCAAGGCTTCCGCTCAAACACGGCCCTGTGTGGGGCAACTTCACTCGGCGGTCCGTCCATTACTTATCCTCGCTGCTGCGTGCGGAATCCTATCGTGGCATGCATAATATCGTGTGTTTTTTTGGGGGGGACAGGAAGCGCCCTCTTGGTGGGGGGCTGCCACCGCCGCCTCTAAGCAAAGAGAAGCGTGCGTTCCCCGGTACGTTTCGGTTTACTCAGGGCGGTAACTTTGTCTCTGGAGTCCCGTGTCCCGCGCCCGGCCGTTCGAAATGCCGTGCCCGATCGTTTTGCCGTGGGTTCGGGGGGGTTCTGGAAATAGCTTGCTGGTGACGGGGGAAGCGCCGGTGTTTCTCGTCCCAAGGAAATTGAGGACGGAAACTGGGTAGAAGAAGGACAAAGCGGTTGGGGAGCTAATTGGCACCCGTAGACTTCCACTTAGTTTGGGGCAATGGGAG